TCTGCTCTCCATGCCCCCCCAGACAGATCTACGCCCCGATACAGGCTTCCCACAGCCCTGACCCCCGAGAGCAGCCTCGGCCGCCGCCCCACCTCTCCGGCCCGCAGCCCCCACCCCAGGCGCCGGGCAGAGGACGCTCGGGCGCTCCCAACCCAAGCCCCGCAGGCCCCGCCGCTCACCTGGAAGTGCTCCTGGAAGCGAATGGGCAGGATCTGGGCCATGGCTGCGCGCAGCCCGTGCAGGGTGCCCAGGGCAGAGGCGCAGGACCCGGCCGCGGCAGGCTGAGGGGCAGGCGCTGCTGTACCCTGCACGCACACAGGCAGGGAGGAGACGGGGGGCGGCGCAGGCGCAGAACGGCGCTCAAGGATCTTGTCCCCAGCCCCCTCAGCTCCTTTTCTGACTCAGACCTCGGGCCCACTCACCCTGTTCGGAATCACTCCGCTCCTCAGCCTGCCGGGGTCTCCAAACAAATAGTCCCTTCACTAGCCTCACCCGTCCGCCACCTTTCTCCCTCCATCTCCCATTCCCACTGGAGGGGGGAGAAGGCATCACCGCGTTCATAACGGGACTGTGGAGGGGCTTCATCCTCTAAAGAGATGCACAACCCAGAAGAGAGACAGAGTCAGTTGACGACACCTAGGTATCCTTCCGCAAGAGCCTGGGTCCGGTCCTGCCCCAAGGTGTCACGTGATTTGACCCCCACCCCCTCATTCTCCACCTAGCTGGTCCAGGATCCCTGCAGTGGGGCCAGGCTCAGGGATGCTGCCCAGGGCAGAGCTCTCACTCCAGCAGAGCTGCCAAGGCTTCCTCGTTTGGGGGGTAGAGAGGCTCCCTTCTTTTCCATTAATATCGATTGCCTCTATGGTAGGGCACAGATAGCATTTGCCTTTATTGTAAGACGCTTTTCAGAAGCTGCCCCTCTCCCTGTCCCACTCCATCCCTATGTATTTCATGGAGACCTTTAAAATCTTACTGGCGCCGTTCTCTTTAAATCTCCCTTATTGTCAAAGCTGATCTGTCAGCAGCAGCAAGAGGGTTTCCCTTGTGATTTAATACTAAGGCAGTTAATTTCACACACACACACACACACACACACACACTGACCAAAAAGGAAGGAAAAGCTTGGGGTTGGCAAAACGCGCCCCCATCCCGATCATATTCTACAGAGTGGGTGATCAAATTGTTCATAAGCAGAATTCCCTCTGCTACCCCATCAATCTTTCTCGTAATATCTACATCCTGTGCATTACAAAGGCCAGAACAAAAATCCCTGCCAGCAAACTGTTAATTTCTACCAGCCCCTATTTTTTTCAGAATTCAAGCAAATAGCTTGTTTTTCAAAGATACTAACCCCAACTCTGATTGAAGTCAATGTGTACTAATGGCACTTAATGTCTGTGAAAATCATGCCAAAAACTGGGTGTATCCCATTTAGTGTGGCACAGTGTTCCCTTTTTGTGGTGGCTAGGCCACAGACAATGTTTTATGAGCTTGGCACAGCGTTAGCTAACAGAGCTAGTAGTGGCTTTGGCTATTTAAAGTAGAGGTTGAGTCATAGTTGGAATCCCTGGTAACCCCAACCTATCTTGGGGCAGAGTAATTACATTGGTAACATGCTATGTCAAATAATGATGCTGCATTAAAAATGTGGCTCAGTAGTTTTATGGCTAATTATTATTTATGTTAAGCACTGAGTGCATAAGCATTTCCTTTTTCTTTCCCTCTCTCCCTCAGTTGGTGAATTATCATTATTGGGTAGAGAGGTGAATAATAACATTGATAGTTGTAGTATTCATGCTCAACTGCAATAATCTATTATGCTTTGGGATGAAAGCTGATCACTTAAGGATTCTAAACTGATGCAGTTAAACAGGTCCAAAAACTGTGTGTAGACAAATCCACATGCAGGACATAGTCTATTGATTCACATAAATTATATATTTCTGCTTGTATCTGTCTGACCACCTCACGCACATTCAAACTGATGATCGTGATTGCCAAAATCTAAGGGCTGGTGCTCCCACCTGTTCCCTACATGGCAATTTTGGAGGGTACCCACTCCTGTCCCCTGAATTTGAAACTAGCCAGCTCTGGTAAACAATGATTTTTTTTAATAGGAATTATTTAGTTCACTAAAGTGGCACAGTCATGGCTGCTGCATGATCAGCAAGTTTAATTTCTTTTGGACTCCCTGATTGTCAGGGCCGGCTCCAGGCACCAGGCAACCAAGCACATGCTTGGGGCGGCACCTGGTAAGGGGCGGCCAATCTTGGGGTGGCGGGGGGCAGCGCGGCGCGGCATTCCACGGGGGGGCGCTCTGGCAGCGCCGACCGCTCGGCGGGGGGCACTCCGGCAGTGTGGCGCATGGTCGCTCGGTGTGGGGGGGGTGCGTGGGCGCGGCGCTCAGGGGGGGGTTTCCGCAGCGCAGTGCTCGGCGGGGGGTGGCTCCGGTGGCGCGGTGCGAGGCGGGGGGCAGCGCTCGGGGGGGGGTTTCCGGCGGCGTGGCGCTCGGCGGAGGAGGGGGCTTAGCGGGGCGGCGCTTTTTTTGCTGCTTGGGGCAGCAAAAAAGTTAGAGCCGGCCCTGCTGATTGTACAGTAAAGCTTAATGGAATCAAGGGGCCTATGATTTATCATTTACAGAGAACAATATTTGAAATCTTCAGGGTTGGAATCATGGGCTTGCAAAATCAGCCATTTTACAAATAGAGAACTTGACTCATTTTAAATGTTACATTTTAAAGAAATTAGTAACAAAGACAAACTTGATGAAATTTGTCTTTGGGAGCTTTATAAATACGCTCCAAAATGCAAACAAGTCCAAAATATGCATTAATGTAATTTCTTCTAGAGTCTACTTTTAAAACTGCATACTATACCCAACCCTGATTATGGTGCTATGACTCCTAAGGACTGATATAAGGAATGTAAATCAGGGGTTCAAAAATTCGGGGAAGCTCAAAGTTTTGGCAGGATACAGAATCTCAAGCTTTACAGGCAGAAATAACTTTATTAGCAAAGATTACAAATAAGCAAATATTTACATGTTTAATGACAAAGACTCTTAAAATAAATGGTCTCTTTTAGTCTCTTTCTGCTCTCCAATCCAGCTTCCTAAATCCAGCAATTACCTAATGCCCAATACCGATAGACTCTACCAATTAGCCAAGTCTTCCTGATTCCAGTATTCCCTTATTTTTCTTGTTAAATGGACACCACTCAAAACATCGTGCTCAGTGTTTAATAGTCAAGAGAAAAACCATCTTTCTTCATGTGGGCTCTGTTGCACATCTCTCTGTGAATCTATTACCCTTCCTACTGTGTTACTGCTTTGTTGGGGGTACTTAATAGTCTAAGCATCTGATTTTTTATTTACATAGACACTCTAGCTACAGGGATTTGATCCTTGACAGAATTGACCCAGCTCTTCTTCCTTCCAGGTAGAACTGTTTGAAAGTTTCTAAAATTTTAACAAAATTAAACAAAAAATAATCTTGACTTTTTGTGAAATTTTCCTAAATTTTTCAACTTCCTGGACTTTTCTCAGGTAGATACCTTGAGTTCCACACAGTCTACTGTATATGGGCATTTCAGATGAGACTTTGCAAATTGAGGTCTGGTCTGCTCTTTGTGGACATTAGAGATCCTATGCTACTTTTTATAAGGGTAAGGATTTACCCTGGTGTCTCTGGCTGGAATTTCCTGTCCTCCCAGACCCTGTGCATTATTCTGTTGTGATGGTGGTCTGCCTAGTGCCCTTCCTCTCTGGAGATGGTGGCATTTCAGAGATGGGGACAGCTTGTGTGTATATAATTTGGAATCCTTTAGGAGAAAGGCATTATTGGCATGATCCAAAGTGTATTGAAATTTGGATGTTGCTTGTTCTTTGGCCTGTAGGGTGCCAATCTTTCACAGCTCTTAGAAGAAGAGCATTTATGCCTTGGAAGAGCTTTTATTTAAATGGAGAAGCTAATAGCACTACAAAACTCCTCACCGTCCTTCCCAACAAAATCAGCCATCTAAGTCTCTCTTCAGAAGATTCATATACCCCTTTAAAGCGCTCCTTCTTGAGTCCCCACTTTACCACAACTCTTCAGGGTCGCTTTGTAGCTAGAAACTGTTTAATTTGCAGATCTCTAGTCCCCTTTGCTCGTTTGATGACAAATATAGCACTCATAAGTGTCCTGGGTAGTATGTATGATTGCCAGTGCCTTCTACTGGAAAGAATGTTAGACTTCCTTGAGCGTGAAGTCCTAATACTGACTCAAGTGGTAGGAAACTACACTTCAGAAGCTGAGGATCCTACATACTCTCTCTGCTTATGAACACAAAGTTCTAGGAACAGTGAGGACTACTGAATCTTTGGTGGCTGTGGATCTGTTTCCATTCACATGATAACTGATCTTTTGGAGTCGATATGATTGTCAGGATTTTAACAAACAGAAACGTCAAAATCTCAGGAAAGTAAAGTGTGCCAGTGCTTCATGGTACGCACATGTTATGATATAGCAAGACTCAATAACATCATAATAGTGCCAAAGTTCCTGTTCTAGCACATGCAAGAAACATGACACCCTGTCCCACGTAAAGAGGTCCACTATTGCTTTCAGGATCCAGTTCAAAATTGCTTTGCTTGTTCTTAAAATCACCTCCCTCTCTGCAAAGACTTATTTCCTGCCTATGTCCAAGACTTGGGAGCCCTCCCTTTTCTTCCGCTTGTCTAGCATTTGCCTCTTCTCTCTCCTTCTCCAGAAAGTCATTACTGCTGGTTCAAGAACTTTCTCCTCTGTATATCTCCTACTATCTAGAAACTTCTTGCCTATTTTTTCCCTTATTGGCTCTCCAATTAATTGCAAACCTCCACTGGAAACTTATTTTTCTCCCTTGCTTCTAATCCTCCTCTGCTCTTACTTGTTACTATTACTGAATGCTATAATTTTGTCTTACCCTTGAAGGCAGTAATACTCAAGCCATGGCTCTGGAGACCTGTAAGGGATTTCAGGAGCCTGTGAGGGTCTCTTCTGAGGTTTCTAGAAAGCATTGTGCACAATCCTGACAACTAACTGTTAGTTTAATGCTCTAAAAACAATTTGGAAATTAAAGATACTTTGATAGGATAAAAGCAGACATGCATTCTCTCTCTCTCTCTCTGTCATACATACACACACACACATATATATGTTTAAAGAAATAAATTACAAACAAACACATGCTAGTGTGCTCGCTCTTTATGTTTAATTCCAAGCATAATAAATTGGTACAGCTCACTTTATGAATTGATACTATTACATTTTTTCAGGTGCACTCCTTCTCAGTCAGACAAAGCTCCAGCTCAAAAATGTTCATAACTATCACTGTCCTATTTGACAAACTTTCATGGCATTTAAAGTCTAAGCAAATAGCCATATCTCTAGAGCCAGTCA